GCGATTGGCTGGGATCTCGACGCATTGGAGGCTGCCACCCGAGAAATGGACGAGCGAGAAAGCGATAGTGACGACGAGTCTGGCGAAGAAGCTGAGGTCGCACGTCAGCTATAAATTTTCGCGGTAACAGCGATATTTTACACACATTTCAGTTTCACTCACCTCTGCTGCAGATGAATGACGTTCTTGGCACTCTCATTATACACAATATCTAAAATTGCTGGGGGTTATCTCTTCTTCATTGTCATCCAAGCAGTGTGTAAACGGGACTAGCATTACATTTCTTCGCCGTGGATTCGAACTAGTATAGCTCCGAGCTTCTCGGCTGGCATTGCGGTCCGTGGGACTCGTCACGCTGAAGTCTCAAGATATCAAGGTCAGTCCATCCTGATTCTTTAAGCCTCACGCTCCCTTACGAATGGGAGGACTGGCAAATCGACTGCCCGTTACACCTTCATTCTTACGGATTGTCTCGTAAAGGTTCGGCAGGCCCAACGCACAGTACGGACGGGTCAAGTTGGCCTCCTTCCTTCCTGCTCTCACCTTCTTCTTTGTCGTCTGCAGTATTCAGTAACCTTGGCCTCCGGCATGGTGTTTGTACCCCGGGTACTGTTCTAGATTTGCCCCTTCTAGGTTGGAAATTGTGTTCTCATATTGCCCTATGACCGCTTTTTCGGGACCCTAGATTCACCGATTGTTCCCAAAAAATAAAGATACCAGCAAACTTCCAAAGAACAACCAGGTGCATCGTGTTTCATTACTCAGGGTGAGTATTGCCCGGTATACTTGATAGAACCCATTCATTATAACATTCCTGCCAGGCTTTGCAATATATCGATCGGGAGCGTCGCCGTCAGCAGCCACAGGCACTTGGCACCAATTAATTGGATCCCTGCCCGATGATTAAATGTCCGTACAGTCCGGCGTGCCAACGATTTGTCTATGCTGCATTCGGTCGATATAGATGCGGTTTCGAGGCACCAGAAGATGATGACAAACGACGAGGTCCTGACAGCACTGGACGTCTTGCACTGCGTCCAGGCATGGAGTTGCGACTTTGTAAGTAACTGTGAAGCTTAATGAGCTCCGATGTCTGAACACGCACTCAGCAGGCAGACAGATGGACAGATGTACTGTACCTCTCGGGAAGCCCCGGCGTCTTGTTGCTTGGCTTCTGGCCACGCCTGGTGGCGGTCCAATTGATCTGGCGCTAACGTCGAGCTATGGCGTAAGGGAAGTTCGGCGTCATTTTTGCTCCTCGTTTGGCAGCCGAATTGTGTGGCTCTAAGGATGTACATTTTCTATCAGAGTAAGAAATGAAACTCTTACTTCAAGTTTCAAGTTTCAAGGAACGGTCAAAATCATGTGGAGTTGAATTCGCTTGTATGAATAAAGTCGCCTGTGTGAATAACCGAACAACCCTGAGAGAACCAGAGACAGGCCAGATAATGCAAAACTTTGATACTAACTACCTATTGCGGGCGCGGGGAGTCGAACCCCGTTCAGCTGCTTAATCAACTCACAACTCAACATTTTAATCCTCACAGCTGTGTACCGTGCACCACATCCGCTGGATAAGCCTCAGGATAAAATTGAAAACGAGTCTTTACAACCTCTAATCAAATGATAGTGGTAGAAAGAAGAAAAAATGACTTGCCGCACAGTATCCATGACTCACCGCGGCGTAGGCCGGAAGCCCAGTGATGTACCCACCGTACTATTTGAACAACGTCCGCTTCCGTTTTCGTCTTCTCTTGTCGAAAGCTTTAAAACTTTAAACTGGGTAAGTGAAAAATTGTGTGGGTTTCTCAGTTTTTCTTGGCTGCGAGTGTCGGGACCACTCTGAGGATTTTCAGCCTAGTACTAGTAATCTCACTAGAGATCGGTGACAAGTCGCAAGACCTGGCTTTCGTGGCTAACAGACGCTAGTACATGTTAGTATTAGATTCTGCTCATACGCGCCAAATTAGCTGCAGGCGCGGGAGGTAAAGTCTATCAGCTAAGAAAAGTCGTAATCGGTTTGCATGCCCAAGTGGGTACGAATATTCTAATCTAGTGCGCAAGATCGGCATCGTCAATCTAAGGCAGTTTTGTCTTTCAAAAAATAAAATAAAAAGACTGCCAACTAACTCACCGTCCGAAAGTCAAGGACGGCAGGCAAGCGCGTCGAGGGAACCTTGCTTTACTCCCATTTGTGGGTCGCAACAGACAAGGTGCACACGTTTCCAACAGCTATATGTTCACCACGATGTAAATAATTATCCTCGCCTTCTTGAACACTTACTAATTTGAAGAACGCACCACAGCGCTCGGCTCCTCGGTTCCAGTGGCGGCTACTGCATAGAATGTTCCACGTCCCGAGGTCCGCGCCACGCGCCTGCGATACTGCCTACTGTATTGCATGAAGCTCTGTTCTATTACTTGTGTGGCGCCCGGCATGAATCCAGCGCGATGTAGATAAATTGATTCCGGAGCGTGGTGCACTCTGTGGCGCATGGACTTCTGGGTGAAATGAATCGATGAACGGAAATCCCACGCGTGAATCGCACATAACGGCGAAGAGGTTTTGGTTTACGACCAAAGTAATTTCACGTGGGGACTCGTGTCGATGATTCGAGATGCAAAGAACGAAGAATAGGATTCACGGTGTGTCAGATAACCCGAGATTGGATCGTCAACGAAGTTGAACAACGTCGAATTGTCTTGTTGTTTTCCAGACAACAGAGAGTGGGCTGTCCGAATTTGAAGCCATACCAAACGAGCGCAGAACAGCATAAATGAGAGCTCGAGGCGAATGGGTATGAAAAATCCACATAGGTAACATCGCCGCGTTGGTAGCAAAGGGTTCCTCCGAACCGCCCTGAAAAGTATAAACAAAGTATTAGCCTCCGCCAGAAGCTGGCAGTTGAATTTTCAGGGGCCGGCGAAGGCATTCCGGAAAGTCTGAGAAAGAGTCTCAGTTAGCTGGATACCTCAAGCATAAGGATACCGAGTTGCCCGTCGCGCCTCTGTAGGATCGCCTCGACCTTATTTAGAAGTTGCACAACCGAAGCATATGACTCTTTTATAGCACCATTGGTCGTAATAAAGACACCGCTTTGCAGGCCAGTTACGAGCTGTCGACGTCTTGAAAGCGCAGGAAGTTGGAGTTCGCTGCTCTTGCAATGTGCATCGCCGACGCGTTCGGCGATCGCGAGACCTCAAAGGTGGTATGGACCGTCCGACATGGTCCCGGAGTGATCCTAAATCCCTCCAAAGAAACCGTGTCAACAACCGAACCTTCGGCCTGTGTTTATCTAGTTTGAGGCCTCGTCTCCGGGAATGATTTAAATTGCGCCTCATTCACGAAAAAGCTTTCATTTAGCGATTCTCAGGCTTAGCACTTTCCAACAGCAATCCCTCTAGAAAGTTATGATCTCTGAGCACTTCCCAATCTGGACGAGGCCTGGCATCGACGCCGATAAGGTCGGGTAATCCGTTTTTTTTTTAGTTTGAAGGCCGCGAGTCTGATCAACTAGAAGCTCAAAGCTGGTAAATAGGTTAATTGGCTTTCAACACCATTCATTCGTAAAGTGCTTCAGCCTTTGGCCTTCCCGCGATTATTTCCCCATTACATATATGATGCCAGCATGGTCGTTAATTTCCCTTCGTTGCCTTCGCATCCCAGACTCGGAGTAGGCTTTGAATCTCGGTCAGAGCCTTACTACCTTACTTTGGAGGTTGCTTTCAGGTTGAACATTATGATTCTTCAGATGGCTAGTGCCTGGAATGTCCTAAACGGTACTACGTCCATTTCGAGCATTTTGGGTGTTCAAATACTACACAGCGATGTTAAAAAAGAAGTATTCCACCTGCGTCACTTTGGTTTTACTCCGCACGTTTTGAATTCAGCGGGCACGAATCGCGAGCGCCCGGCCGCCATTTGAATCGGAATGAAAAGATATCTTATAAAGAACATTAATTCGGACGCAGAGAGTTGGAACCCCGTTATCTCCTACTCATTGAAGGCAGCGGTGCATCGCGCACCACGTGCAACGTGCACCACGTACCTCCCTTTAAAGCCTTCGTTTACGCAAGCCATGAACCATTCTGCCGACCCAAAAAAATCTGATAAGTATTGCGAGGCGGACGCGGGGAGTCGAACCCCATCAGCTGCGCAAGAATAGCGCGCATATCTTATTGAGAGCAGTGCACCGCGCACCACGTCCCGCTTTCCCTGTTCCCTTCGCACCCATCTAAGTGAGGTGCTTTTTTCATCTTCTTTTAGCATCGAAATCGAAAACGAATTATGAGAAAAAGGACTGCCAACAGTCTCCTATGCGGACGCGGCGAGTCGAACCCCATCAGCTGCTCAATATACCGCACTCGCGCTCATCATATCAAATGCAGCGGTGCGCCGCGCACCACGTCCGCTTCGCAGGTGTTTTTGGGATGCTCAACTCTGCAGACCAAAAAAAAAAACCCCGAAAAACAGACGGGCAGGCGGACGCGGGGAGTCGAACCCTTCAGCTGCTTAATCACCTTTCTGGCTTCATTGAACGCAGCGGTGCATCGCGCACCACGTCCGCTTTTCACCTCCCTTAAAGCCTTGATTTATGTAGGCAATTTTAGTGAATTCAACCACTCTACCGACCAAAAAAAAGAAGACGCTTTACGGAGAAGGCGGACGCGAGGAGTCGAACCCCTTAGCTGCTTAATTGATTTTCTCACGGACTAGTTGATTGAATGCAGCGGTGCGCCCTGGTGCACTGCGCACTCCTGGCTCCCTTTGGCAACGCCTTAATTTATGCAGGGCTTTTGGTCAGGTCAAGAACCCATGCAGATGCGGGGAGTCGAGCCCCTCCAGCTGCTTTACATCTCTTGAAGGAAGATCATAGATGGCAGCGCTGCGCCGCGCACCACGTTCACTTCCCCACCCACTTTGGCTTTCCTTCAGGCGAGGGAAATTTTTAAACGAAAATTAAACGAACTATGAGAAAAAGGATCATCACAAAGGTTAATGCGGACGCGGGGAGTCGAACCCCGGTTGGCTGCTTCATCTATGTCTACAACACTCTATTAAATACAGCGGTGCACCGTGCACCACGTCCGCTTTCCTCCTCCTTTCAACACCTTGATTTATGGGGAAATTTTTGGGATGTTCAACTCTGCAGACCGAAAAAGAAGCTCAGGTCAAGAAGCATGCGGACACGGGGAGTCGAACCCCTCAGCTGCTCAATTATATAACCAAGTAGCCAAGTACAATTGAACGCAGCGGTGCGCCGCGCACCACGTCCGCTCCCTGCCTCCATTTAACGCTTCAGTTTTTCTCGCATTTAAAATTCAACAAACCGCGAGTACCATTTTGCATTATTTTTTTATAAAAAAAGGGTTTTTAAGGCGACATGCGGACGTGGGGAGTCGAACCCCATTTAGCTGCTTTCGCATATATGGTCGCCGTAGAAGAACACAAGGCAGCGGTGCACCGCGCACCACGTCCCCTTCCTACCTCCCTTTAAAGCCCTAATTTATGCAGGCAATTTCAGTTTGGGTTGTTCAACCGCTCTGTCGACCAAAAAAAAGGCAGATGCGGTATGGAAAGGCGGACGCGTGGAGTCGAACCACATCAGCTGCCTGACATCCCCAGACTGCTATTGAATGCAGCGGTGCACCGCGCACCACGTCCGCTCCTACCTCCCTTTAGAGCCCTAATTTATGCAGGGGTTTTTGGGATGTTCAACCGCTCTGCAGACGAAAAAAAAAAAACGCAAAAACCCATGCGGATGCGGGGAGTCGAACCCCATAGCTGCTCAATTCTTTGACATACAAATACGAATTGAATGCAGCGGTGCACCGCGCACTACGTCCGCTTTCCTGCTCCCTTCCAAGACTCAATTTATGCACGGGTTTTTGGGGTGTTCAAACTCTGTCGACCAAAAAAAGAAGACGCTGAAACCAGACAGGCGGACGCAGGGAGTCGAACCCCATCAGCTGCTCAATATTTTCGAAACAGGACCCATTGAAGGCAGCGGTGCACCGTGCACCACGTCCGCTTTCCTTTTCTCTTTAAAGCCTTGATTTATGCAGGGGTTTTTGGGTTGTTCTACCTCTGGTCAAAAAAGTTTGAAGGTGTTCCTCTGCCACGGATGCAAAAGAATCCGAAAAATTCACCATGCAGACGCGGGGAGTCGAACCCCTCAGCTGCTTACTTAATTTCCATAAATGAATTAATTGCAGCGGTGCACCGCGCACCACGTCCGCTTCCCACCTCCCTTCAACGCCCTAATTTATGCAGGTATTTATGGGTTGTTCCACCGCTCTGTCGACCAAAAAAAAAAAGTTTACACGATTCAACTCCATGCGGACGCGGGGAGTCGAACCCCAGTTGGCTGCTTCATCTATGTCTAACACTGCAACATTCCATTAAATGCAGCATTGCACCGCGCACCACGTCCGCTTTCCTCCTCCCTTCAACGCCTTGATTTATGGGGGAATTTTTGGGATGTTCAGACTCTGTCGACCAAAAAAAAAAGTTTACACTACTCAACTTCATGCGGACGCGGGGAGTCGAACCCCAGTTGGCTGCTTCATCTATGTCTAACACTGTAACATTCCATTAAATGCAGCAGTGCACCGCGCACCACGTCCGCCTTCCCCCTCCCTTCCAAGGCTCAATTTATGTGGGGGTTTTTGGGATGTTCAACCGCTCTGCCGACCAAAAAAAAAGAAGATGCTTTACGGAGAAGGCGGACGCGGGGAGTCGAACCCCTCAGCTGCTCAATATTTTCGAAACAGGACCCATTGAATGCAGCGGTGCACCGCGCACCACGTCCGCTTCCCACCTCCTTTCAATACCTCAATTTATGGGGGAATTTTTGGGGTGTTCAACCGCTCTGTCGACCAAAAAAAAAGGCAGATGCGATTTGGGAAGGCGGACGCGGGGAGTCGAACCCCTCAGCTGCTTAATTAAATTTCTATTAATGATATATTGAATGCAGCGGTGCACCGCGCACCACGTCCGCCTCCCACCTCCGTTGAAGACCTTAATTTATGCAGGGGTTTTTGGGATGTTCAGACTCTGCAGACTCGAAAAAAAGAAGTAGAAACACTTATGCGGACGTGGGGAGTCGAACCCCGTTTAGCTGCTTCATAAAACACTTTCTTCCAATGAACGCAGCGGTGTACCGCGCACCACGTCCGCTTTCTTCCTCCTTTCAATACCTTAATTTATGCAGGGCCTTTTGGGATGTTCAGACTCTGTCGACCAAAAAAAAAAGTTTACACTACTCAACTTCATGCGGACGCGGGGAGTCGAACCCCTCAGCTGCTCCATTTTTACTGCTCTCAGAATTAAATGCAGGGGTGCACCGCGCACCACGTCCGCTTCCCACCTCCGTTGAATACCTCAATTTATGCAGGGCTTTTGGTCAGTTCAACCGCTCTGCAGATCAAAAAAAAAAGTTTACAAGACTCAACTCCATGCGGACGCAGGGAGTCGAACCCCAGTTGGCTGCTTCATCTATGTCTGACACTGCAACATTCCATTAAATGCAGCAATGCACCGCGCACCACGTCCGCTTTCCTCCTCCTTTCAATACCTCAATTTATGCAGGCAATTTTAGTGAATTCAACCGCTTTGCAGACCAAAAAAAAAAAGGTTTACACGACTCAAGAATATGCGGACGCGGGGAGTCGAACCCCTCAGCTGCTCAATTCAATGCAATACAGTACAACAATTGAACGCAGCGGTGCACCGCGCACCACGTCCGCTTCCTGGCTCCCTTTCACACCTTGATTTATGCAGGTATTTATGGGGTGTTCAACCGCTTTGCAGATCAAAAAAAAAGTTTACACGACTCAACTCCATGTGGACGCGGGGAGTTGAACCCCAGCAGCTGCTCAGTTATTTGTCCTACTCTCTATTGAACGCAGCGGTGCACCGCGCACCACGTCCGCTTTCCCTCTCTCTTTAAAGCCTTGATTTATGTAGGCAGTTTTAGTTTGGGATGTTCAACCGCTCTGTCGACCAAAAAAAAGGCAGATGCGATTTGGGAAGGCGGACGCGGGGAGTCGAACCCCTCAGCTGCTCAATTCTTTGACATACAAATACGAATTAAATGCAGCGGTGCACCGCGCACCACGTCCGCTTCCCACCTCCCTTCAACACCTCAATTTATGGGGGAATTTTTGGGGTGTTCCACCTCTGGTCAAAAAAGTTTGAAGGTGTTCCTCTGCCACGGATGCAAAAGCATCCGAAAAATTTACCATGCGGACGCGGGGAGTCGAACCCCTCAGCTGCTCAATATCAAGAACAACCGAGCTATTGAAGGCAGCGGTGCACCGCGCACCACGTCCGCTTCCCACCTCCCTCCAACGCCTGGATTTATGCAAGAGTTCAACCACTCTACCGACCAAAGAAAAAGAAGACGCTTTACCCAGAAGGCGGACGCGGGGAGTCGAACCCCATCAGCTGCTCAATATTTTCGAAACAGGACCCATTGAAGGCAGCGGTGCACCGTGTACCACGTCCGCTTTCCTCCTCCCTTTCACGCCTTGATTTATGAAGGGGCTTTTGGGATGTTCAGACTCTGCCGACCAAAAAAAAAAGTTTACACTACTCAACTTCATGCGGACGCGGGGAGTCGAACCCCAGTTGGCTGCTTCATCTATGTCTGACACTGCAACATTCCATTAAATGCAGCAATGCACCGCGCACCACGTCCGCTTTCCTCCTCCTTTCAATACCTCAATTTATGCAGGCAATTTTAGTGAATTCAACCGCTTTGCAGACCAAAAAAAAAAAAAGGTTTACACGACTCAAGAATATGCGGACGCGGGGAGTCGAACCCCTCAGCTGCTCAATTCAATGCAATACAGTACAACAATTGAACGCAGCGGTGCACCGCGCACCACGTCCGCTTTCTTCCTCCTTTCAATACCTTAATTTATGCAGGGCCTTTTGGGATGTTCAGACTCTGTCGACCAAAAAAAAAAAGTTTACACTACTCAACTTCATGCGGACGCGGGGAGTCGAACCCCTCAGCTGCTCCATTTTTACTGCTCTCAGAATTAAATGCAGGGGTGCACCGCGCACCACGTCCGCTTCCCACCTCCGTTGAATACCTCAATTTATGCAGGGCTTTTGGTCAGTTCAACCGCTCTGCAGATCAAAAAAAAAAGTTTACAAGACTCAACTCCATGCGGACGCAGGGAGTCGAACCCCTCAGCTGCTCAATTCAATGCAATACAGTACAACAATTGAATGCAGCGGTGCGCCGCGCACCACGTCCGCTTCCCACCTCCTTTCAATACCTCAATTTATGGGGGAATTTTTGGGATGTTCGACCGCTCTGTCGACCAAAAAAAAAAGGCAGGTGCGATTTGGAAAGGCGGACGCGGGGAGTCGAACCCCGGTTGGCTGCCATCCATGGTTCTAACATTTAATTAAATGCAGCGGTGCGCCGCGCACCACGTCCGCTCTCCTCCTCCTTTCAATACCTCAATTTATGCAGGGGTTTTTGGGATGTTCAACTCTGCAGACGAAAAAAAAACGCAAAAACGCATGTGGATGCGGGGAGTCAGCTGCTTACTTAATTTCCATAAATGAATTAATTGCAGCGGTGCACCGCGCACCACGTCCGCTTTCCTCCTCCTTTCAATACCTCAATTTATGCAGGCAATTTTAGTGAATTCAACCGCTTTGCAGATTAAAAAAAGAAGCTTACGCAACTCGAGAATATGCGGACGCGGGGAGTCGAACCCCATCAGCTGCTTTACTTGTGCCGAACTGGATAATTGAACGCAGCGGTGCACCGCGCACCACGTCCGCTTACTTCAACGCCTTGATTTATGCGGGTAGTTTGGGTTGTTCAGACTCTGCCGACCAAAAAAGAAGTTCACAGCAATCATTCCTCACGCGGACGCGGGGAGTCGAACCCCATCAGCTGCTCAGTTATTTGTCCTACTCTCTATTGAATGCAGCGGTGCACCGCGCACCACGTCCGCTTTCCTCCTCCTTTCAATACCTCAATTTATGCGGGAATTTTAGTGAATTCAACCAATCTGCAGACGAAAAAAAAACGCAAAAACCCATGCGGACGCGGGGAGTCGAACCCCTCAGCTGCTTACTTAATTTCCATAAATGAATTAATTGCAGCGGTGCACCGCGCACCACGTCCGCTTTCTTCCTCCTTTCAATACCTCGATTTATGCGGGCATTTTTGGGATGTTCAACCGCTTTGCAGATCAAAAAAAAAAGTTTACACGATTCAACTCCATGCGGACGCGGGGAGTCGAACCCCTCAGCTGCTCAATTCATTCAATACAATACGATAATTGAACGCAGCGGTGCACCGCGCACCACGTCCGCCTTCCCCTCCTTTCAAAGCCTGCATTTATCCAGGGTGAGTCGAACGGCGATCACGATGTTGGATGAAAATATATTATAATGGCATGCACACTGGCGGCTCCGCGCCGTCAGCGTCACCCCCAGGTCCGCCTTCTTTAATTGTAGGCGACACCGCCCTTCTTTCCTTGACAATGACACAGACGGGCACTGGCGTTCCATCACGAAATGACATTATACATTCATTCGACGCCACTTACGCGTCTCGCCGTTGGCCGTGCGTTGGCCGTGCGTGGGGGTGTTTATACGGCGGGGGGTGTTATCCTGCATCGCGATTCGTGTTGCTGATAAAGAAGCAATCGCGATTCGCGTCCGGTGGCGCTCACTTACTAACGCGTCTTTCTTTGCATTATATATATGTACAGTCATCCATTCGTTCGTCGTCCGAAATCCAGAATGCGTCGGCGCTCGCGTGGGGTGGCGCGGGGGGGTGCGATTTGCGCGGGGGTGCGTTTGTGGTGGGTGTGAAGACGATCGAGGGATCTTCAACTGGGAGCGTGGGGGCGAGGTGAGGCGAGGTGAGGTGGATCGTCGACGTAGCCAAGTCCGAGTCGGAACGTACCCAATGCGGAATCAATCCACGGGATCGAAAGTAAATCGTCAAAGCGTCGGTTTCGCCGAGAGTCAGCGCATACATTCGAGTCTCCG